CACTTTTTCCTACTTAAATTTAATACGCTATAAAGCTGCATACCTAGAAATTTTCTAAAAATTATGAACCAAAAGTTTAAAATTTTTGGGTGTAACTGTTAAAATTTGTTGAAAGTTAAAATTTTTTGTACGAAGTTTGAAATGTGGATTTATGTTGTTCTGGTTATGTAATGTACTAGACTTTTATAAAAAAAACTATGAACATTAAATAAACAGAAGAAAAAACCAAAACTGGTCAAAATGTCACTTACCTAATCAGCTGACCACAAGGGTATATAGATAATGGCCCTGTAAACCTAGCTCTGGCAACTGTACATGCTTGACTGTTGAACTATTCTTATCTAATTATGTGGAAACGAAAATGCAATTGTGGTAAACATTGACAATGAAGTTCTAACATTATGTAACAAACCCGAAACACAACTTCAACTTCTGTAATTAAATATAACAAATTTAAATTTTTTTTTGTCACGGGTGGGACAAGACCAATACTGCTTAATAATAACTCATAATATAGATAAAGCACTCAAACAATCTAATATATGTATAATACAATTTTATTAAACACAGATGAGTTCTACTACATATTTTTCTTACCAAACACTTGCATTAAGAATTGCAAGATATTTGACAGTTATTTCACAGTACTTTTTTTAACACAATCTACTTCATTAAACCTACTAAAAAAATGTACTTATAACTTGATTTTAAAACGTAAAAAATGCAATAAAAATGCATTTAAAGATTTAATTTGTTATTTTTTGGTTGATTCAACATTTGTACCCATGTCTTATCCACACATTTGTTAGTTTTATAAAGAAAACATTTTATACTCTGCGGTTCAGTTTCCCATGGAACCTCCCTTAAATAAAAATACAATTTTATTCATAGTTTTTCTAACGAATATTTTTGTATTCTTCTCAAATAGCAAAACTTACAGATTTCTGCTTGAACGCAAATTCACTAGAATTTGCAAGTTTCACAGCCAACTCTACTGTCCACGGTTGCATTTCAAGCATGACAAATTTTTATAGAATTTTTAAATCGATTGGACAAAAAACAACTTTTATAGTGTTTTTGTAAGAGAGGGAGGGACGTAGTCTTCGGCTTTAAAAAGGAGTGAAACACTCCAACCGGAGTGAAAACGGCAACGCTGCCGAGTACCTTTCAAAATATTCAAATTAATGAATGAATTGCGTAAACGGTACTTGTTTGTTATACACGCGTGAGACCCTATTTAATAATAACCTCCGGTTATGTGGTAATATTTTTTATTCAGTTTACAACAATAAAATACGCTGCAGAAGAATAATTTTTATCCACATAACCGGAAAACCAGGCAGGTGTGAACAACCTCATTATCTAAAGAACTTTTGGTTCCCGCATCCTGCAAATTGGTTGGGATTGAGTATAATCACTGAACTTCCAACTGCATGCCCGGAAAAACTACTATATATACGTTTTGTCGTCCCCATGAAAACTTTGTGTATGTACGCAATCCGAAAGAAACCGATTTTATATTTGGCCAAGCATTGTCACTTCATTAATATTATCCAAAATGGATTGGGGTAATTTTATTATACATACAAACATGTTATAACAACCATACCATTTGTTATCTTATCATACATGTCTTTGTATGGGTTTGATTTTTTAAACCCAATAAAACGGAAGTTCTGCAATGTGATTAACCTCACAAGGTGCCATTTGTGCAGTCAATACATATCGGCTATCCGTGTTGATATGTGAATCAGTTTTTGAACTCGTAATTGAAAATACGTTTGATTACTAGTTGCATACTTTGAATAGTTGCGTTCGATAACAAAATTAGCCAACACCAACCAACAATCAAAATCAAGAGAGTAAGCGAAAATTCTCTCCCAAAGAGATGAAAAAGCAAAAAAGTAAACGAACAGGAAATTTGCCATTACTTGCAAAAACCGGAAGAAGAACACACACCAGCTGACTTTGTTTATGTTTTATTTGTAAACAAACTGAAATTCATGTTGCCTCCATAGAAGAAAAAAGGAAAGTGAACGTGCAATGTTCGCCAAGAACATTTCTAGAAGTAAAAACTAGTTGGCGCTATCATAAAGTCACATAGCAGGCAGCCAAAAAGCATATAAATACCAAAACTCGGAAAATGCAATTTTGTTTTCTTACAAAAATTGCAACCATATGTTTTGTGATCATATGTTTTCGTGTTGGATAATTTTTTGTCGTTATCGAACGCCATCCAGTAAAGATTTGGAAAAACTATTACAAATTTTTGACTTGTCGAACGCACCTAATTTCCCCTACTTTGCAAGTTGTTTGGATACATGAACACCAAAACTAGAAAGTTTTTAATAACTTTTGAAAACTTTTGATTTCATGAACACTCTTATTAGTTGTGTTTGTTTACAAATTATCCAGTAACTTGCCAGCAACTCTCCAGTAACTTCATTTCTAAGAATTCGCTCTCATAGAAAAAATTTGCAAAAAAGTACGCGAACGCTATTCCAGTAATAATTTGCAAGTTTCATGAACAGCTGATAAATTGACTAGTTATTCGCAGCAAATTCCTAATAAAACAATATACTTTATATTTAAATAGGTTTATTTTGTGAAATTCAACAATAAAACTCACAAACAGTTTCCTTATTAGTTTAAATTTCATCCAGCAACATGCGATCAGCTGTTTTTCGTACTGGCAAATTCTTACAAGTAAAAATTTGTCCAGTAAAGTCCAGTAAAAACTTGCAACTTCAACTGTAATTTTTCGCTCTCTCAATTTCTCCTACTTTGCAAGTTTTCGCGTACGCCAAACGCCAAAACATTTCGTAAAAAACATTTACTGCATTTTACTGGAAATGAGTAAACAAACGCAACTATTGTTTCGCTGTTGTCTCGTTCTCAGCAGGTCATAACAATAACAATGGCTGCGTTTCTTTATTCATTCCGGATAATCCCATTTCACAGCCAGAATAAACAGAATGCGATTGAAATATACGTTAACATATCATCAGAAACGTTCTAAAGAATAAGTAAACAAAAAAGTTTATTCCAAACGTTCAGAATGAATAAAGAAATGCAGCCAATGACAATTGTCACTATTAGAGCGCTTAAAATAAATTTGCGGCATAGTATTAGGCGCAGCAGTAAAGAAAATAGTCAACCGTTGAGTTTTGTCATCGGCGTGGGAATAGGGCACCGTCAGAAGCATTAACAATTAAAAGGAATCTATAGAAATAATCAAATTAAGTGTGAACATACTACGAAACTAAGTAATTTTCGCTGCAATAGGAACATACATATATACATTTGTAGTTTTGTCTGAATTTTTGTGGGTCGATGTTGTAAAAGGGAAATAAAAATTATTTGACATATGTTAAGCTGTTAAGCTATGGAGTTAAGACACAAAAGATAGGCATGAGATATTTGGAGCTATTGTCAAATCGGTCTTAATATTTTTACCGAAATATTTTGGCGGATGTCTTAAAATATCGTAAATTTTTTTATTCAAGTGTAAAAACCGCGATGTTTTTCGTGATCCACCCTAATGTACTCATAGATTATCAAATTCAAATTAATTTAAATCATTTTTTTTTTTTTTTCTTTTAGCAAATGTCTGAAATTTACGTTGGACAAACAAAACGACCAACGGTTTTTTTTCAAGCTATCAAAATAACCGCGAACGCTGCATTCATCAGATTGTTAAATTTATCCAAAATTTAGCCGCTTAAGAACTATCGGCTGAGTTGCTGCCTGCCGTGCTGATAAGACAATCAGCGATAAAGCGCTGCTGTCTCTGCCACTGCCGTTTGCTATTTGCTGCTTGCTAACATGTTGCTGCAGCTTTGTTGATTTAACAGGTATATAAAGCTATGTACGTTAACTACCTATAAACGCACCAAAACAACGGCTGGGCTACATAGTAAACTGACGGCAGGCAGTAGACGCTCACAAAAAAACAAGCGAACACCGCGCAGACATAAACGAAAGTAAAATTTTAAATGTCACCAGCTTGATAAGAAAAGTAGTTCATTTATATTGATTTTGGAATTTAGTCTCTGTTGTGGGTAATCGCAGCACGTTATCTTCGTAGACGGTGTGTTATTGTGTGCGTGTGTCTTAGTAAGACGGTAGCGCGCAAGCGCTCCACGCACCTTAACAAACGACTACACACACAAACTGTTATCAATTACAACGCGCAATGTCACACGGCATAGTGAGCGGCGGAGCAGGAGCAGCAGCAGCAGCAGTCGTCGATAGCAGTAGCCTAAACGCACAATCCGCCACCACAGAATATCGCGAAGTACACTGGACGTCGAATGTCATGGACTCCTCACGCGTATCCACATGTCTCATTTCAATGCTGTTAATCGTTTATGGCAGCTTTCGTAGTCTGAATATTGAACAGGAGGCACGTGAACGCGAACAAAAGAAACGTAATGAATCGATGATGAATCTGATAACTGGAGAACCGGTGGAGCAGGAGACAAGTGAGAAAACGAACATTTTATTAAATGTTATATTATTTATTGACATCTTATTTTTGTTACTCTTCCTTATCGTAGACAAATTTGCGACGCTGGATACAATGCATGCATTGTGCTTGCCGTTAGGTGCTTCCGTATCGCTGCTAGTTATGTTCTTCTTCTTCGATTCCATGCAATTACTTTTCGCCGTTTGTACAGCAAGTGAGTAACATGCACAATTTTGTTTTATACGTACGTACGTATGTATGGTTATACATATGCATTTGTACATGCAAACATACGTGCATATTACATACCTTTATATGCTCAAATTACTCAGATATTATACTCCAAAAAATTGCTTTTATTTTGCAGTTATTGCCACGGTAGCNGATAGGTGCATATTACATACCTTTATATGCTCAAATTACTCAAATAGTTATTATACTCCAAAAAATTGCTTTTATTTTGCAGTTATTGCCACGGTAGCTTTAGCTTTCCTTCTGTTGCCCATGTGCCAGTACATCATACGGCCATGCACCGACGGCAATCGCATATCGTTCGGCATATGTGGCCGTTTTACCGCAGCTGAGCTCTTTAGTTTTGCACTCTCTGTGTCAATTGTATGTGTTTGGGTACTCACCGGTCATTGGCTGCTAATGGATGGTAACAAACATTGTATTATTTTTTACTCCAACAAATAGTACATAACAATTTTATTTTTCCTATCATTTCCAGCGATGGGTATGGGTTTATGCGTAGCGTTCATTGCTTTTGTACGCTTGCCAAGCCTCAAGGTGTCTACTCTCTTGCTAACCGGGCTGCTGATCTACGATGTCTTTTGGGTATTCTTTTCATCGTATATCTTTAGCACGAATGTAATGGTTAAGGTGGCCACCAGGCCCGCCGATAATCCGGTGGGTATTGTGGCGAGAAAACTGAATTTAGGGGGCATAGTGAAGGAACCACCGAAACTTAACTTGCCAGGAAAACTGGTTTTTCCAAGCATACACAACAGTGGGCATTTTTCCATGCTAGGTTTAGGCGATATTGTGATGCCGGGGTTGCTGTTGTGTTTTGTATTGCGTTATGATGCTTATAAGAAATCGCAAGGCATTACCACAGATCCGACGTTACAGCCACCGAAAGGAGTCGGCTCGAGGCTCACATACTTTCACTGTTCCTTGTTGGGGTGAGTGTGACAACAATGAAATAGATTACATTACTTTTATTATGTGTAGATACATAAAGAGGCTTTCGATTTGTTTTTCAATTTTGGCTTTTCGTTAAAAAAAAAACCTTCGAAAAGAGTTTTTAAATCATTCGAACCTAAGGACATGCCGCAACCTAAGAGTAATTAGGCCATAGCTCGAATATATACAAATTTCAGGAGGTGTACACTAAGTTTAATTTCTTCTTTTGTATAAATTCGTTTAGATTTTATTTTAACCAAGTTGCAGTTAAATCTTACGTCGAACTATGGCCCTATTGCTCTGGGATGAGATGCATATGTGCCCACAATTTTGAATGTGTTCTTAGTAATTGTATACCCCTATGCGTGTTTAAGTGGCTTGGTATTTGAACTGAATGTATCTTTAAATCGTTCTACCGTCATAAACTAACAATACATATTTTGACCTTTGTGTGATGAAGTTCAACGAACGACAGACTGGATCAGATACAGGTAAATGATTGTTGAAGCACAAACGATATGAAGACGACTTTCAAAATTATGGGCATATATGCATGATTCATTTATTCTTCAATTATTCAATTATGCCAGCTCACTGTTAACAGATAGCACCTAAATGCATGCTACAGCTTCAGCGTTAACGATTTAGTTTCGTTTTGTTAAAAACGAAAACTGAATTATTTTGATAATTACGTAAACGATAAAAACTGAATCGTTTCAACAGAGACGATTGATTTTTTTTTTTGGTAAACGCTAAAATTAATGTTACAATGCATCGTTGATTTTATTATTAAATTATATTATTGAATCGTTGCACATATGTGTTTATTTTTTATAATTTTCGAATTTTCTAATTATTCGATAAATCTGTGTCAATTCTCTATGTAATAACGAATCTAAATTTATGTATTGTACTTTTATTGTGTATATAATTATTATCTTTTTAATTGTTAGCTACTTCCTTGGCCTACTCACCGCTACCGTAAGCTCGGAAATTTTCAAGGCAGCACAACCGGCATTACTGTACCTGGTGCCGTTTACGTTACTGCCTCTACTGACCATGGCTTATCTCAAGGTAATAATAATTTAATTTCATACAGTAATACATACCATCGCCCGTATGCCAGAAGCATGAATGTGCAAATTTATCAGTTTTGAGTTATTGGGTTGACTTGATTAACCTTTGTTATACCAAAACCCAGAAACCTCTGTGAGGGTGTTTTAACATGTCAATCTTTCTCTTTTAATTTAACTGCAGAGGTATTTATTTTATTTTTTTTATTAACTAATTTGATAAAAAAAAATGTATTTATTGTTCTATAAGCTATATAAAAATAAAATTTTTATAGGGTGACTTGCGGCGCATGTGGAGTGAGCCGTTTATAACACAACAACCATCAAAGCAACTGGAAGTCTGAGTGCTATTCGACACTACTTTCTTTGGATTACGTTTAACGAGTGAACGTTTATACTAGGAATCAAATATTTAAGTTTCATGGTTTAAGTAGAATGTAAAACTTTAGACCGACTTAGTGTGTGCTTGAAGGAGGGGGTTGTGAATTGGATATTCATACATGCTGGTAATTGTAGGATCGTGAAAGATAGAAAAGTACTCATTTTATTATTTCATTTTTACAAACGCTTTACAAGGGTGATTTTTAAGAACTTTTTGTTTTTAATTTTCATTCTACTAAGAGTTATTAACGTTGAACTGTAACACGCTCAGATATCGAAATGAGATCCAATAATAATAAGGTATTTGTATGTGCTCCAATACATACATAGATACATAAATACATGTACTAAATAGAAAGCAAGCCAAAATTTAGCACACGTGGCAAATACATATTACAGTAATATGCACGCATAATTGCAAACATACATATTTGCATAAGCTCACGTACATCATCTAACATAAATACATACATCAGACATGCAAGTACATGAATTAGAAAAAAATAGGAATATATACACATAAGCATACATACATACATGCATGTTACATACATGAGTATCCATTAACTTTTCACTAGATATAACTGTCATCGAAGAGTATAAGTTTTGTTAAGTTAAATACCTAGAACTGAATTTTTTTTTTTACCCTGCTTTAAGCAAAATAAATAGCAACTACAAATATATGAGCAACAAAAAATTTGACAAAAAATAAGCCTTTTATTTAATTTGCGCGTTGAAAATGAAAGGTTGAACTAAATTCTCGTCACTGCAGCAGAAGGATTGCAAGTCGTTCGCCCGCAAACATTCAATTCCACTTCAATTGGATTAATGTCAATTAATAGCACTACATGATTCGAACGCCCATCGCCAGTGCATTGCAAAATTGCAGCTAAAGTGCGAGCGCGAGCCCTCGCGAGCTATTTGTGTTTTTCAGTAGCCCGAGATCGTCCGAAAAACTGTCCCAACTGCGAGAAGAAGAAGGAAAAGAAATACGCGAAAATTATGATTTAGAGATAAATGTTCGTTTAAAAAGTCAAATTGAAAGTATCATTGGAATCCTTACTTTGAAAACTACTAAAAGAAACATTTTCGCGATTCTTAAATGACTGAAATTTAATAGCCCAACATTTATGTAGATTCAAAGTTTCGTTGTCAGAGATGTATTACATCAAACCTTGGCTGTTGCTGTGACGAGCTCTAATTCTCTTTCTTTTTGGGCTGCAAATTTTTCGCTAATTTTAATTTATTACTTTAAGAAATTTATATTGAAAAAATATAAATTTTAAAAAGTATTTTATAGTATTAATTATATAAGAGTTATTTGCTTAAATACAAATTTAAGTTATACATACTTAATTCCTTTCACGAATTAAAAAAAAATATATTTTTTATAACATTAAAAAACATTATTCTTAAATCTCTAAATGCACTAATTTCTAATACTTTTTATTATATTACCAAATACAGATATTCAATAACCAGCTTATTCCAGTGCTCAAAATGTTCATCTTAAATTTACATACAGTCACTCACAATACTGATCATGTTGTTATCGTCAAGCAATAAAATTCTAAATATGTATTAAAGTGCGTTTCCATGAGCCCCAAATATCGTAATTTGTCACCATTATCTATTTCAGCTTGAAATTGTGATATGTTTCTCAATTAGGCCATAGAAAAAAATGTCAGCTAAAATTGAGTTTGAGTCTCAATTTGGGCGAAATTGAAAAAAAATAAATTTTTTCTTAGCGGCTTGGAAGTTTTTTTACTTTGAATGATTTATACGTCAAAAAAATTATTTATTTAAGGTGTTTGCATCTGTAAATGTGACTTTTTCAATACAAATGTAATTGCGTATGCCCGTCAAATTCACAGTCTTTATTTAACTATTTAAAAATACGTTATATGAAAACGAAATAAACTAAACTCAGATGATTCTATCTGTGCGTCAGATGGAAAAAGAAACATTTCTATTTCGTATGTACGTGCATATGCTTTGTACAGAAACAAATCGAATTTGCCTTTACACGATATGTTGACATTTCCGTATGTAAAAAGTGGCATTTACACATGCAAATACATATCGTGTAAACACACCTTAAGTAAACAACTGTGATTGAAATTGGTTTTGAAATTGAAATTTGTCGTGTGAATATTTGCAATTTCAAATTGAAATTGAAAATCGAAATTGCCCAATTTGAAGCTCGTGGAAACGTACTTTAATATTCATGCAATAACAACTGCACATTGCCGTTGGGGCCTACACAGAGAAATTTCCAATCCCAATACGAAATCGTGTGAGCTTTGTGAGTATCTGTATGATTATTTAAACCTTCTGTAGATATCATAACCCAAAAAAACAAAACTAAATGTATTAATTTTTCCTATGTGAGTATATGTACACATCACACGTTTAATAATATACAGAATTAATTCAGAATTTAAATTTTGTGGGAAAACGCAATCAAAGTTTGATCAATTCATACAGTTGGTATACCAAAAGACAGATAGAAAGACACATATCTTCGCCATTTTTGGGAAGTTTAGTCATCCGTTAGGGTACGTTCACACAGAAAGCAGAGCCGAGCCAAACGAAGCCGTTCCGAGCGGAGTGAAGTTTTCAAATTGCTGTAGCTATATGAAAGTGTTCATACAGTAAGCTTTTTCAGAAGCGTTTTGGAGCTGAAAGCAAAGCAGTTTTTGATTTTGAATTTTCTATTTAATCTTTCAGCTGCATAACGCTTCGGCAAACAAGATGTCGAAATACTCAAATAAAAACTTATTTTACAATTAATCTTTTGAATAAAATTGAGCAAATATTTCTGCCGCTTTTCATTGACGGGTATTTTGTGGTATCTTTGCAGCCGAGTCCATGTGAACACCAGCAGCTTCGCTTTGTTCGGCTTGTCCGTTTGGCTTTCTGTGTTAACGCACCCTTAGGCTGAACGTATTCTCCTCATCAAGCTTATTAATTGTTTTATGAAATCTCCAAAAACGAAAATTTTGAATTACATCTCTAAATTATTAAACGTGCGATATGTAAATTCACAACTTTAAAGCTGTTTTTCTCGAGTTTTTGACTTTTTGGATTATGACACTTGCAGCAAATGTGCGATATGTACATATAATGGCGGTTAAAAGTGGAGGAATGGTGTTTCGTATTTAATATTTACAATGTTTTTCAAGCTATAATTTTTTCATATAAATATGATGCTTGCTTTAACAAAAACCATAAAAATCACACTTTTAAACTTTATACAGAACTTAGAAAAACCCGCAAATTTGTATCTATATTTCGAGCTTTTCAACCAGATTTTTTTTTATATAATTTTTTGGGTATGCAGTTAACAGGATTATAAAATTTTAGTAAAATTAGTGCAAGTTTTGAGCGTATAAAAATCCCATTGATTTTTAATGATTTTTTTTTTTTTGTTGAAGGCGTTTTGAACTTTTTTCCATATAAACATGAATTTTTTATTGAAGAATATGCGCAAGAACTTTTGCGAATAAAATAAAAAAGTCAACGCCAGTTTTCCTAAATTTCTCTTTTTATATGAAAAAAACCGAAAAAGCTCCCAGCAAAAAAAAATTATTAAAAGTCAATGCGATTTTTTAGCCGCTCAAAAACTGCACTAATTTTACTAAAATTTTATAAGCCTGTTAACTGCATACTCAAAAAAATTCTCGTTAAAAAGCTCGAAATTTAGAAAAAATTTATGGAATTTTTCTAAATTCTGTATAAAATTTAACGCATGAAAGCCTGAAAAAAATTATAGTAAATTAAAAACGAAACACCATCCATTTTTGACCGCCACTGTATGTATTTGAAATAAATTTTTGCCATTCAAATTTTGTTCAATAACTAATATAATATAAGTTTTGAAAAATATAACAGCGTTAGATGCGTACTGAAAAGCAACAAATGCACACATAAAATTTCACTCACAAAATTATTCTGCTAACAAATGTGTTCATTTTGTTTTCATGTACATATGTATGTACTATTATTATTTTTTCTTTTGGTTTATAATCTCGTGACACGACAGAAATTTAAACATAAATAAACAATACACAGTATATTAAACAGAATATAGTGAACAAAAATCAAATTTAACTAAAAACAGATGCATTTCTTATAAACAATAAGCAAATCATTGACAAACAAAGTGAAAAAATCTGTCAATATAATATTTTTTTTATGATCTCTTTAAGAACCCATCGAAATTTTCATTCTCACAATTGAAATTTCGCGAATACAAATGCATAGCCCGGTATCGATACAGTGATGGCTAATATAATGATGTGTAAAATTAATACCCAGAGCAGACTCAAGGGAAAAATAGCTTTCGAGCAATTAATTTGAATGAGAGCGCGAAAGTTATCGGCTACTAAATTGTCCTTTACTGCTTTTTTTCATTCAACTTCGAATTTATAAATCTTCACAATTAATAAGTTAGTTAGGTTCATATGTACGTAAGATACGCAAATACAGTTTCTGGAATTGGCAATCAAAGTGAGTGAGTGCATGGTGTCTTTTGTTTAATATTTGCAATGTTTTTCCAGTTATTTTTTTAATATATTTTTTTTATAAAAATATGGTTATTTCTTTAATCTAAACCACATAAATTAAACTATCAAACTTTATACAGAACGGAGAAGAATTAAACAAATTTTCATCTAAATTTTGAACTTTTTAATCTGAATTTTCAGGAAAATTTTGCGTACGCAGATAGATCGGTTATATAATTCTAGTGAAACAGGTGAAAGCTTTAAGCGCCTAAAAAACCGCGTTGATTTCTAATGAATTGTTTTCCGACGGATTTTGCGGATTTGTGAATATAACAAGTGCGTTAATTTTTTATTTTTTTTTTTATTTTGTTTTCAAACGGTCTTGTGCATTTGTGCAAGAAATTTGCTTTTATATGGTAAAAAGCGCAAAAACCGTTAGCAATTAAAAATCGACGCGATTTTCTAAGCGCTTAAAACTTGCTCTTATTTTACTAGAATTAAAAACCTAATCTATCTGTGTACTCAAAATTTAGATGAAAATTTGTTTAATTTTTCTACGTTCTGTATTAAGTTCGAAAGTTTTTAGATTAAAGAATGAACCATATTTTTATAAAAAATTATAAACAAATTTTAATTTGAAAAGCATTGCACATATTAAACAAAAAAAAAAACATGCACTCACTTTTGATTGCCAGTGTATATAATTTTTTTAGTTAAAAAACAATTACTCATACCGATAAAAGAATCATACATAAATACTTTACATTATAAAAGAGTGAAGTAAAGGAACAAAACGGTAACTATTAAGTAAAGGCAATTTTTGAATAAACATATACGTTAAACTTTTAGTTAGGTTTTTTTATTATTATTAGGTACTATTTTATTATAAACTTACAAATTTAAATTGAATTGTATAAGGTTTAGCAAAAACTCACATAAGAAAGCCTAATATACCATGTGAAGACAGATTTTTTATGTTAAACTATTTGAAATAATTTTAAAATATACATAAGTTAATTGTTTAACAATAAAAAAAAACTATGAAATATATGACTTTTTTCATTCAGCAATTGAGTATGGACGTGAACAAATTTGTTACATCAATAAATTTCCGAGGCTAATGAAAGGTACGTAAAATGAACATTTCTGTTATGACATAAAACAAATATCTGTCAAATCCTTAAATACGCTTTACGTTTCTCTGACGCGATTCCTTCCTTAGCGCTCGCTCATTGCTGATTAGTCTAAAATCATTAAAAAGAGGAGGTCTGTAGCCAGAGAACATTTAACATTTAATGTTCTCTGCTATTTTTCAGAAGTGCCATTTTGATGTGCCAAATTGAAAAATTAAGTGCCAATTGAGGTAAGATAGGGCCAAAAACGGAACCTTTTGCGCCAAATTGGCAGCCCTGTGCCACCAGTGGTTTCTCTATATAGTGCAAAAAGACCGTCAGAAATGGAAAAAACGTAAATTTTCAACTATTGCAGGATTATTGGTTATATTATGCTTCACACTGTCTAAAATTCCTGAAAAAAAAACAAGTTTTAAGTTATCGAAAGTCTTTCAGTAAATTGTGACAAATGGAAAGCAACAATCCGATTCTAATTAAAGTTATAAGTAAGAAAAAAGATTTGCTATAGAGTCAATTCACCTTCTAAATAATGAATTTACAGATAACCTATCAAATCTTTTATTTCTTTTGTTTTAATAACTACCTCTCATTTAACATGAAATGCACAAACGGCCCTTAAGTGTACACTGCCTTATATTTTTGACTAGTTTTAATTGCTGCTGGCAACAGTGCGTCTTTCGTCTACTGTTGGCAAAGCAGTTTATATACGCAGAGTGTAGTTGGCAATTCGTGCTGCAGTGGTCAAGTGAAAATTTTTTCTTCTCTTCGTAGCGTTTGTTAACTTTTCCTATTGTTTTTATGTTTAAATGCGTTTGCAAACAATCGTTTCAACAAAATAGTGCATTTGAATGAAACGAAATTCTATAAAAATTAAAAGAAAATTTTTAAAAAATACGAAAAAATCAAAGTGTGCAATTATTAGAGGCGTGAGGCAGCTAAGAAAATGCGCAAATTATAAGTGCAAAAGTGGTCCCAAAAATAGAAGAATTAAGATGTCCCGTGGATTTTGAAGAGCTCAAATAAACAAAAAGGTACAGCAACTGGTAAAGAATTCCACTTCTCATAATGAAATGGATGTACACACATATTTTTTAATACACATGTCCGTTTGTGCTACATATGTGCACCCGAGCTTAAAAAAACTGGTAGGATTACAAATTGGAAGTAAAAAAAAATATATATATATTTATGAGCTAGAATATTTACAGCAATTTCGTTTCAGTAAGCCGGATATTATATTAGCATCGAAGGACCTAGTTAGGCTATTTCTAAAAATATCTATCGGGATTTATGTAGTCCCTGCCCACATGGAAATGTATGTACATACACAATACACATTCAATACTTGTTTACTGTGCTACTAAACAGCTTCTATAAGAGCCCGATATATTATTAAAGTTGATGGGATTCAAGCCGGAATAAAAGGCGTACTCAAATAAGCAGCAATTAAAATCGTCATATGATAAAAAGTGCTATTGGAAACTAAACGGCGATTTTCCAAGCAATTTTTAGCGGCAGTTAGTTGAATCGAAAGCTGCCTGCACCCCAACTTCATTGCAAGCAATTATGTATTTGAAAGGCCGTTCACACCAGGTGATTTTTGCTTTCAAATAAAAGTTGCCTGTAAAATCTCCTCATGTAAACACCGTATAACGAAAACTGAAATATATTCAGCTTATTTGGTAATTTAATCGAATTGCGATGGGATTTTGCTTGCTTATCTGTAAACACATACACATTAGGGATGAAAATCCCGGGACCCCGGTGTTTTTTACGTCCCGGAAATTCCGGGATTTGCTTGCATTAATCCCGGGCTCTCGAAAATTTTGAAATATCGAATTGATAGTAAGAATGTGTTTATGAATTTTGAAGTATGATTTTTGTAAAATGCCGTTTTGACTGCAATTAACAAAAAGCTTGAAACTGTACTTTTAAATTGCAGTCTGAGCCGTTATTCAATGAATAAACTCATAGCGTCGCTAATGTAATCGAAACGGAGAGTTTTAAGGAAAAGTTAGATAATTTTTACTTCCCTTTTATTAGCTCGGGATGTAACTATGTAATATTGATGCGCCTAAAAGATGCAGCGATTTCTATTCTCAAGTTACATACCTGAAGACAGTACGAATGTAAATTATAACAGCGAGGTTTTAGTTTTTTAAACTATAATTTTATTTAGATCAATCTACTCAAATCTTCCTCAAATCGAAAAACTTATAATTTGACCGACGTGCTCGTAAAAGAAGTTCAAATATTTTGTAATGGAGATAAAGGTCATTATGGATAATGCCTACCTTTTGACAATTCAACCTAAAAGTGTTGATGACGAAAAATGTTTTTCATCAGTAGGTTTTGTATGTAAAAACAGCAGGTCAAGCTTAGAAGACTCCGCTTTGAATGCTTTGCTGCTCTTTCGAAAACATTTTAAGTGCAATAATAACAACACCGGCAAAAAAAGGGGTGTGTGTTGTTAACCAGACCCAACTACCAACATGTATTTCGACCCGCTGAATCCGATTCTGAGATCCGTTTGACTCGTACTCCCTAAAAATTTCTAGTAAATTGCGAGAAAAAAAATGGGAAAAAATTCTTCATTCGCCATTTGTTTATAGAGTGGAATAAACATGTTTAAATAAATTGTTTTTGTATATTTTTGTTTTAAGTTTTTTTTTTATTAATCGTCACTTTCAAAAGTACCTGGTATTTACATAATTATTTGTGATGTATACGTTCCTCAATCACATGGTTTTTTAAATACCATTAAAAAAAATTTTTACTTTAATATTTGTCTGATTTAATAAATATCGCTAGTGTAGAGTGCAAAGTTGCTAAGTCCCAATTTAAAAATTTTGCAGGAGAGGAAAAAACTTCGTATATCCCGAAATCCCGGGATCCCAATTTTGGCATCCCTAATACACATGTATTGACAGTGACGAACAAAAGTATTGGCACTGTGAATTTTTCGCAGTATATGCAAAGTTTTTTATTCTAATTTATTTTCGATGTTTTATAAAAATATGGTTCATTTTACACTAAAAAATATAAAAATAAAATCTCTAAACTGTGTGCAAAACTCAGGAAAATTCATATAATTTGCACACTAGTTTGCAACTTTTTATTCAGATTTTTTAGAAAAATTCTAGGTATGCGGTTTTCTAGTCCTTTCAATTTTGGTATGACAGTTAAAGTTGCTAGAAAATCGTGTTGATATTTGGCAATTTTTTTAGTGGAAGGTGTTGCCCATTTTCTCCATACAAAAATTTTTTATAAAAAATGATCGAAAATAAATTAGAATAAAAAACTTGGCACATATTGCGAAAAATTCACTGTGCCAATACTTCTGTTCGGCACTGTATGTATGTTTGTGTGTTTGCAATCAATTTCAAATTGAAATTTTTGCAAATGTTATGAACAATTTTGTACATGCATATGGATGTATCAAAATACATATGTATATTTGCTCTTCGCTGATAAGAAAACAGTAAAAAAAAAAACCAGTGGTGAAAATGGGGGAATACAATAGCTGTCTGTTGACGTACGAGTTCGTAACAATTGTTAATAACCTACTGCAAGTCTCCTGAAGAGAAACACGAGTTCCTCGGTTGAAAAATGTTGTATTTCCAAAATTCTACACCATTTTTACGAAAGTGTTTTTTCATTCATATGAAATACATGAAAAACTTTGAGACATATAAATATTTTTTTATTGAAAAATAAAAAATGTGTTTACTTTTTTGGTATAGAACATTCCAAAATTCCGACTTTACTTGTGTTTTACCGTCCTAATTTATATGCAAGTACCCATCGCTCATTTACTTCAACAGTGTCACAGCTCAAAAAAGGAAAGCTCGAGAAAAACGGCTTTAAAATTTTTAGTTTACGTAGGAGCCATTCTTTTTTAAGTCGGACGGATATCGTAAAAAAATTATATTATGTCTCTGATTCTCTTCAATTTTTTTATGGGTTCTATACATGAAATAAGCTAACGCGTATTTGAGGACATTTTTTTCTTCGCAGATATGATCTGTCAAAGTTAGGATTTTTTCGTGATTCTGATTAATCATGTAATTCTTCAAATTGTTACATCTCGGTTCCTGANCCAGTGGTGAAAATGGGGGAATACAATAGCTGTCTGTTGACGTACGAGTTCGTAACAATTGTTAATAACCTACTGCAAGTCTCCTCAAGAGAAACACGAGTTCCTCGGTTGAAAAAGGTTGTATTTCCAAAATTCTACACCATTTGTACGAAAATGTGTTTATTTTTTTGGTATAGAACATTCCAAAATTCCGACTTTACTTGTGTTTTACCGTCCTAATTTATATGCAAGTACCCATCGCTCATTTACTTCAACAGTGTCACAGCTCAAAAAAGGAAAGCTCGAGAAAAACGGCTTTAAAATTTTTAGTTTACGTAGGAGCCATTCTTTTTTAAGTCGGACGGATATCGTAAAAAAATTATATTATGTCTCTGATTCTCTTCAATTTTTTTATGGGTTCTATACATGAAATAAGCTAACGCGTATTTGAGGACATTTTTTTCTTCGCAGATATGATCTGTCAAAGTTAGGATTTTTTCGTGATTCTGATTAATCATGTAATTCTTCAAATTGTTACATCTCGGTTCCTGATCATCGTAGAGAAAGACGTTCTGCGCAAAAATACTTCCGCCCTTCTTTTCCGGCAACACAGAAAGGAGAATTCTACTTAGTAAGGGTTATAATCCCTAAGTGCGGCCGAAGGCCGCCTACGCAGAAATAATTTCTGCGCAAAAATAATTTCTGCGCAAAAATACTTCCGGTCCCCTTTTCCGGCAACACAGAAAGGAGAATTCTACTTAGTAAGGGTTATAATCCCTAAGCGCGGCCGAAGGCCGCCTACGCAGAGAGAAGTTCTGCGCAAAAATACTTCCGCCCTTCTTTTCCGGCAACGTGGTGCAAAGTTATGCGGTAACATACATAAAAAAAAAAAAAAAAATCCGACGAACTGATAACCTCCTCCTTTTTTGGCAGTCGGTTAACAATGCCGCATATATTCCCATAGTAAAAATTAATGCATATTCTATTCTAGTGAGATACAGCTATGAAATTTTTACACAACATAGAAGAAGAGGTAGCGGTAGCTTCCGCATACTTAGCTCAATATTTGTATTTTTGGATTATGGCACTATTGAAGTAAATGGCCGATATGTACATATGTATATCACAACCAAATATGCGCCGTTTTGCGTCACTCACTTCCTCCATTCAAAAGTTACTTTCTTACTACCGGCATTCAAATGCAAGTCATAATTTTATACGCAGCAAATATTTAATGAATTAACACCGTGTTATAACATACATATGTATGTATTCTTTGGAGCTATCACATTTTCTGCCGCCGCTGTGGTGTAGTGTTTAGCAGTGCGCGCTTCCATTCCACAGGGTCTGGTTTCAAGCCCGATTCAAACCAAAATCAAAAAATAAAAAAAATTAAAACANAGTCGGTTAACACATATGTATGTATTCTTTGGAGCTATCACATTTTCTGCCGCCGCTGTGGTGTAGTGTTTAGCAGTGCGCGCTTCCATTCCACAGGGTCTAGTTTCAAGCCCGATTCAAACCAAAATCAAAAAATAAAAAAAATTAAAACAAAAAAAGGTTTTTTTTTTCTAATAGCGCTCGCCCCTCGGCAGGCAATGGCAAACCTCCGACTGTATTTCTGCCATGAAAAAAAGCTTCTCATAAAAATACAAACGCCTTTCGGAGTCGGCGTAAAACTGTAGGTCCCTCCCCTTTGCGGACATCATCAAGGCGCACGCCACAAATCGGAGGAGAAACGTATCACTGAATGGAAACAGTTAGAGATAAAATACACTTGTGGTCCCGGAACCTTACTTTCTTAATTTTGTAAATTAATAAAAAAAAATCTTTTTTTTTAAATAGTTTACACTGAAAAAAACAATTTAAGCACAAGTTTCAAACTTTATGATTAAAGCTTTTAGGAAAATTTCGACTAATTTTGACAATTGAAATATCATGTCCTTAATTCGCCGCAGGCGCTCAATAGCCTAGCTACACCACTTTACCTAAACTTTTTTTTAATTCTAGGGTATAAATTAGACAAAATTCAAGAAAAGGTATCGTCGAAAACGATATAGCATAAAAAGAATATTGACACTATTCATAAATTTGATGGGCGGTAATAGTACAACAAATACATTTACCGCTGGTGGTTACATAGGTCCTGCTAGTGGAATTAGNATATTTTTTTTTAAATAGTTTACACTGAAAAAAACAATTTAAGCACAAGTTTGGAACTTTATGATTAAAGCTTTTAGGAAAATTTCGACTAATTTTGACAATTGAAATATCATGTCCTTAATTCGCCGCAGGCGCTCAATAGCCTAGCTACACCACTTTACCTAAACTTTTTTTTAATTCTAGGGTATAAATTAGACAAAATTCAAGAAAAGGTATCGTCGAAAACGATATAGCATAAAAAGAATATTGACACTATTCATAAATTTGATGGGCGGTAATAGTACAACAAATACATTTACCGCTGGTGGTTACATAGGTCCTGCTAGTGGAATTAGCGGTGGCGGCGGAAGCAGTGGGGGCGCAGTTGGTGGTGATCTCATACCAAACATGAGTGCCGCTAGTGGTGCGTCGTATGCCTATGGCACTAGCTGGGAGGAGTTTTGCGAACGTCATTCTCGTGTGGCTGCTGCGGACTTTGCCAAAGCCTGTATTGGTTACATAAATGGGAATCTTCCACCCGAAGAGGCGCGTAGTATTTCATACCGTTGTTTTGGACAAAAGTTCGCCGAAGTGTTCGTGGATCATTTCGAAACGGAATTCTGCCTGAGGCGCAACAATCTATGGGTACACGCTTGAATTATTGATGTTTATGTGTATATTTTTACTATAAAATAATAATTATTACAGACTGGTAATGGTAATTCATTGGAGGAGAGCGGTAGCGCAGCTGAAGACTCACCGAAAATATTTCACAAAGCGTTTTTTCGACGGCTTTCATTCAAGGGACTGCGCAAGGGCAAGGTGAGCAACAGCTTGACCGAAACTAGCAAAAAAGCGCACAAAAATTGTGTCTTACGTTAGAACAGTTCATGTTAAGTGTTTTAATTTTAGAATTTCTTATTCTTGCAGACACTATTTCATAAAAACTCTGAAGATTTAGATGGCAGCAAGCATAGCAAGACCAAGATCTCGAAAATAATTGTAGAATGCCGAAAGGAAGGTTACGTCTATAATTTGACGCCCGAAAGTTTAGATCAGCCGACGGGTACACAAAAATGGGAAAAATGTCGGCTTGCTTTGGTCAAAGCCGTCGGCGGTTACATGCTGGAGTTCTATACACCGCCTAAAGCTACAAAGGTTTTATAACGATGCATAATGAAAAACAAATAAAGCATTTCACAACAACATTGTTTTCTTATTTTTAGCCACGCAGCGGCGTATTTTGCTTTTTAATATCGGAAGCACGAGAAACTACGGCACTAGAGATGCCCGATCGTGAAAATACCTTTGTACTAAAAGCCGATAATAATATGGAATATGTTATTGAGGCAGAAAGTGCTGATGAAATGCGCAGCTGGTTGGCTACTATACGCTACTGCATGCGTACGCCGCCGACACAGCAATTGCCCTTAGAATCTGCTGATGCATTGGTTACTGGAAGTGGTAGTGTAGGCGGTATAATGGGTGGAATTTCAGCAACAACTTCGATGGCCATGAGCCCGAGTGGCAATTTGACCTCAACAGATGCCAGTGCTAATCGAAGTGGTGGTGCTGCTGCCGTCGGTAGCGGTGTCAACGCTGTGCATAATCCTCAATATCACCAATCAAGCGGACTAGGCTCAAACGGTAATGTCGGTCCCAGCAGTTCTCTGTCGGATAATGCACTTGCTACCGTTAATGCTGCGGGTGTGAGTGCTTCAGCGGCTGCAAGCGGTGATGCTAATGCGCTGGAAAGTATACCGGATATACCACCTAGGCGTGGCGAACAACGTCTTTCAGCATCGAGTAATTTCGAAGCAGAATGTGAAAACGAAATTGATATAAATGTAGCAGATCTGACAAATGAAATGCGACAGTATCCATGGTTTCATGGTACACTGCCACGCTCGGAAGCGGCGCGCATGGTATTACACTCTGAAGCGGCGGGACATGGTTTCTTTTTGGTGCGTCAAAGTGAAACGCGCAAGGGCGAATTCGTGCTCACATTTAACTTTCAAGGACGAGCAAAGCACTTGCGCATGACTTTGTCGGAGAAGGGCCAATGTCGGGTGCAACACTTATGGTTCCCCTCTATACAGGAGATGCTCGAGCACTTCCGGCACAATCCTATACCATTAGAGTCGGGCGGCACCTCTGATGTGACACTAACCGAGTGGGTGCATAATCAGGGCACATCATGCAGCGGTACAAACGATGTTAGCAGCGCTGAAATAAACGGTGGGCATCATCCTCATCATCAACAACAACAACAGCAACAGCATCCATCGCCAAGACATGTGAGATAGCCTAAATTTTGGAGTCCATTCAGTGTCAGTGATGATTTTTGTTTGACGTTTTGGTATTTGCGTTTGTATATTTTAACGTTCTTTATTTATGTTGATAATAACATTCAACAGAACGCCATTAAATTTGCAACTATTTTAATAGTGTCTAACAGTGTAATAGATATGAACTTAAATACAGACCTACAATTCGAGTTGAATATTTGAGAAGAAAAAACTTACGAATTTGATGGTAGCTTTAGTTTTAAGTTTAGTAATGATAAGTAACGTTTCCTTATTGTTTTTAGTTTAGTATTTTATCTATTTTACACCATAATTGGCACAATTTTTTTTTTGTTAATAGATACTATTTTCCATATGCAAAAGTATAGTTTATAACTACATATGTTTTGTATTCAAAATCCTTCTTACGTTTAGTTGCATGGATCTGAATCATCAGCTTTCCACAACAAAACCAAACAATACTAACACCAGTCGCACGCAATGTGTTCGTGTCACGTATTCAAAATCAAAGTGCCATGTCTTTTCTTTTCTTCCTATTCTTCCATGCCACTTTGCTTTTGCCACATTATGGGCGGAGAGCAGCCGCAGCAAATAATCACAATGAACATGAGTGTACGCCTAAAATCCTGCGAAATTGAGTTACCGTTCCTACAACAAACGCAACAACAACAGCAGCAACAGCAGGCGGCACATTCACATCAGCATTATCAGCCGCAGCAGCTGCAGCAACAACAACAACAATTGCAACAAAATACCCAACAATTACGCGCATCAACAATTTCATTACAATCTCAGGTAAGAATTTTTCATGCTATGTGGATATGATACTGAGCCGAGCTGTATGCATAACTCGTAGGCCACCGACAGTCGGGTCTATTTGTAGTGGAGCAACTTATATTTATTTCTGTACAAGAACTGTCATTCCCCAAAACTTGTTTCAAATTTGAAAAAAAAAAAATTTGGCTGCAATAAGTAATTTTTTGCATATTAACTCGTTATACAACTCACGGTTTTTAAAGTAACGCTCAGCCGTTTGACAATATGCAACGTTTTACAAGCGAACAATGCATTTTTATTTTATCAAAGTGGAGAATATTCGGTGGATGCATTATACAAATTTACAAAATGCAAAAATTAAAACTGAATATTTATTTTGTTTTTTAAAAAGCTATTACCATTTTCTAAATATGTATTTCTAATTTCAATATTATTATTTTTTTTTATTTGCAGAACCTACACTACAGCGGCACTGGCGTGGCTAGCATAAGCGACTTGAATGCAAATGAAATGGGCGCACGCGCCGTCGACAACCAATACAGTTTTGTGTAACTCAATTCCGCTACGAATAAGGTTTTATGTTACGTACATTTGTAGTTATTTGGCCAAGCCGACAAGTATGAAATTAGATTTACATGAATGCATATGTATACAGGAATACTTAAAAAATAATATGTAATGGCTGTTAGCTTAAGTCAGCTGAAATTTTTTTGTGGTATATACTATATAGATATATATACTATACATATGTATGAACCCTGCAAACCAAAGTTCCCGAAATCTTAAGGAAATCGTTTGAAGTATCTCATTTCTGTAGCGATTTTTTTACGAATTTTCAAAGAAAATTATATGAAGTGGTTGACACGAACTCGTAAAGAAATTTCTGTACGAAAAATCAAGAAAATTCTGGAAAAATTCTGAAAGATATTCTTCACATAGCACCATTATTTTCGTTGCTTCACAGGTTTTCTTCCGAAATTTCGTAAAAGAATGGAAGTGTGCGTAATTTATTTCATTTTAGAAAATTCGGCAAAAAAATCTAAATAAATCTTAACGAATTCTTTAAAATTTCTTTACAATGCAGAATACACTGAAAAAATGGTTTGCAGGGAATATATTTGTCATTGCTCATTGCTTTTCATACGTACAAGTCGTTCTTCCTGAATAGGTATTTTGTGCTCACAATGTTTTCTTTTTCAAAAATAACGATAATTCATTTCTTAATATTCCTACTATGTGTTCAAAAATCGTACGAAAAAGCATGTAGATTTATTTAATTATTGTACATATACAAACAAACAAACGTATATACACACATACTTAGTTCTGAACTGTAAATGTAAGCATAAAAACGTAGAAGATTTTTTTCTATACATACTAAAGAAAAAAACAAACTATGTACATTAAGATCTTTAGTTTTACTAAGTACGACTGTGCGTTGTTTAGATAAAAAAAAAAAAACAATTGTTTAATTTAAGAATTTATCAACAAAAAAAAATCAAAGATAAAATGCTTGAAGACTTGTTTTTTTGCGTTAACAGCCAATAGAATTTTTTCACTGAAATAACTCTCAATTAAGCAATCCACTGGTTATAACAGAAACTGCGCAAAAAAAAAAAGAAACTAGGCATGTCAATATTTTTATATCCATACATTTTCAATACACTAAATATTTCTGAAATTTAATTGAATTAAATATCTCCACCATCTATTCTGAAGACCTTATTTGAAAAATGTAGAATTTTATTCCCAATCCAACGTTAAAACTCATCGCATGAATAATGTCTCAAATACTACTCCTAAAATTTAGTTTTCGCGGCGGCCGCCTCAGAATGGCCGATGGTTTTTATGAGAAGGGCAGAAGTACATTCGGATGTTTTGCCTTTGTCTGCTTTGTTTTCTGAATTTTGATGATGATGGATGAGATTAATTAAAGATTTTTGATATTTGGAAAGATTTCAATATTTATTATGGGTCGATTACGGTTGGCAATCGAGCTTTAGTTGCATTGTCAATAGCTGAAATAGTATTAATGAGTAGGCAAATAATGTCTAAGAGTTGCTATATTGGCAATGGCATTTTGGTTGTTGCCGCAGACATTTTTATTGAGAAAATGTGTGTTTTTATTCAACTATTTCTGCACCTTGTTCACACAAGGCTTAGTTGCAGTAACCCCAAAATTCAATTATTTTCAAGTATATAGCATTTAAATATATATACTTACAAACATAAGTATGTAGCTGCTATTCATTATATACATTAGGGCTGTGCGATTATTCGATTACTCGAGCAAGTTGGTTAATTAATTATTCGGTTAATCAATTACTCGAGTAATCAAGATTTTGAACCAAGAAAACGGCATACTCAATTTTGCGAGTAAGAAATTATTAGCTTCTGTTTTGATAAATTTTTTTTATGGCTGCAAATATAATTTTACATACCTACATACATATGTATATGTATATAGGACATACATATATTAATAAGCTGTATAGGTTCTCCCATATATTTGTGTATACGTATACGGACATATGTATGTATTTATATATACCAATTGTACATTTACATTTACATATAGTGTGTATGTTTTTAATAATCCTGTATATATAAACATTATCGGTATATATAGAATTCAATTCCACAAGACGTTGCCGTCACTTATTTTTTGGCCCTACATACATACATATGTATAACCTTTGTTATTTCACAAAATCACACATTCGATTCTTTCCACTTAAAATTTATAATTTTTGCTTTCATTTATCGGATAACGATTTTTGCATTCAGTATACAAATGTATACACATACTTACTATATACACTACACAATTACTTGCCTAATAGGTCGAAAGACATTGAAAGCAGCTATAAATTATGACTAAAGGATTTACATAGGGCCCATTCCACGGTAATCGATACCGAATGAAACGAAAATAAACTTAAGAATTTGAGTGTATTATTTCTAGTAGGTAAGAGCATAATAAAAACATTAACATTATGTTCTTATCATGGGTAAGAGTACATAAATCTTACTTTCAAGACTAAAAGCAAAAATTTCGAAATTTACATACATTGCCGGAACAAAGTATTGGCACAGCAAATTTTTCACAATATATGCAACAATTTTTATTCTAATATTTTTCCGCCGATTTTGTGTAAAAATATGGTTCATTCAAAAACAAACAAAAAAATAAAAATATAATTCTTAAACTTTGTGCAAAACTCGCGAAAATTCAGCAAATTTTCAACTTTGTAATCAGATTTTTTAGAGTTGTTTTGAGTATGCAGTTTTGCAGCCCATTAAATTCTAGTAAAAAAAATTCAAGTTCGGAGTTAGTCAAAAATCGCGTTGATTTTTGAGATTTTTTTTTTTGTTGAAGGTGTTTTGCATTTTTTCCATATAAAGTATTTTCGAAAAAAAAAATTTTGTATGGAAGAGACTGCGTGAAAAAAGTTGCCAAAAATCAACGGTAATTGCTAGCCTCTTAAAACTTGTACTTTATTATAATAAAATTGATTGGGCTACAAATCTGTATACTCATATTTGCTGAATTTTCGCGAGTTTTCCATAAAGTTTAGGAATAATATTTTTATGTTTTTTTGTTGTAGAATGAACCATATTTTTATACGAAACTATCGGAAAAATATTAAAGTGAAAATTGTTGCAGATATTGTAAAAAATTTGCTGTGCCAATACTTTGTTCCGGCAGTGTATCTCAAAATCAAAATTTTTTTTTGCTTTAGGTTGTACCATTTACAAACTCATGTGAGAGGTTAATTTTGCTCAAAATTGACAAGACTGATTTTCGTAGTCTTTTTTGCATTCTTTAAATTGTCTTATTTTTTGAAGGAAAACACTTCTTGCACAGTGTAAAAAAGCTGACGAAAGTAACACTATGGTACAGGCAAATATGTGCGAATTGCTTTAAGTATTTATATGCTTTTATTTTTGAAAAAAAAAATGCTTATGTTGGTCACGTCCGTCACATGTCACACCCGTAACAATTTAAAGTTTGACAAATTTTAATAAATTCGGCCAGGGACTGCTAACGTTACTCATCTTCTAATCTGACAAAGCTAATCATAGAGATAGGTTTGTTCCACACGAGACCGCGGGATCCCTCGGGTGTCCAAAACAGCCCAGAAAGCGTTTCCCACGCTAGAAAAATGGGTAATAGAGAGTGAATACCTTCTACTTTTGGATCATAAATATCTTCTTCTTCGTGACCGAAACGGCCCGAACTTTTTTTCCGGGCAGAAATGTGCAAAGTCAATTTGAAATAACAGCAGTTGTGAAATACAAAAATGAAAAATAGCACTAAGTTATAATTGTTTTGGAATTTTCTTTCTAGGCATTGTGTATACCTCGCAAACCTATAAGAAAATACTCGTTTTAAAGAATTTTATATTACAGTTTACGAATTAAGCCTTAAAATGTGACTGGAAATATCACACTTGTCACCGTGGAATGAGCTATAGGCAAACAAAAAGCCTAGCGTAAAAATTCAGCCTTGTTCAAGAATAAAAGCACTCTAAAATCTTCACTAGCTGACTTTGTTTCGTTGAATCAAAAGGTTACATTACATCCGAAAAACAATTACGTTAATTCACACCTTCCTGCCTCATTGATTATCGGATTTAAGATAATTATATCCTAGAGGATAATCTAGATAGGTCTTCTTAAGTGAAGCCATTCTAAAAGCTTTACCCAAGAAGGGATGACAAAGTGCTTACCCGCATGCCTTCTAGAAGTGCTTTTTCTATTAAAAATTTCCGCGACCGCATATTTAAGTCCATTATTAACATAACAAATGAACTTCAATATTTGATATTAACTTGAAATGAATACATTAAAGTTGCATTTTATGAATTAGAGAACAGCATC